TAAATTATGAACGAACTTTTTGCTATTTCCGTCATTCAAGTCAGAATTACACCAAGACCATTGCATATACAGCTTTGGCAGTTACTGAGCCTGAAAGAGCAATCATTAGGCTATATAATATGGGTGATTAAAGAATTATTACATAAAGTTGATTTTGGACCTCATTTGTCACACCCTGGTATCCCACCTTTTGGCAAATGCTCTTATAAAACATGTGGAAGCAAAGGAAGTAACACCGATAGAAGGTCAAACACAGAAGATTCGAAATCACAAGACTCGTAGAACTGTGTCTGTGGTTTCAGTTTTTTTTTCTCTTTATCTTTGTGAACTACCAAGGCCAGCCCCGACAAATTCGAGCTCTATCCATGTAATACGGGTGAGAATAGCGCAGGCGAGTCTTTTGGCTATTCTCACCCGGTGTGCGTTCACCGTTATAGCCTAGATCTAGGCCAACCAATTTTGCGTTCACCCTGAACCACAGAATTCTACACTGTGATAAAATAACAGAAACATTTTAGAATTCTGTGCCATGAACAAACGTTCCATTACTACTGTTAGCCTAAAAGCGTACAATTTTGTCTGTGGGCAGTGGAGAGAGAGAGAGAGAGGAGTAGCGTGAGAACTTCCAGGCAAAACAAAATGGCGACCCGCGTAGTTCGGCTCGATTCGAAAAGTCAAATAGCCGTAGCATCTTTGTAGACACGACCAAATTAATTTACTTTTGTGTTTTAACATCATTTTTAAACTTTGCTTTGGTCAATTTGATCGTCCACACCAATAGTATTCAGATAGAGACAGAGAGAGAGAAGAGGGGAGGAGTAGATCTTGCGAGAACTTCCGGACAAAACAAAATGGCGACCCGCATAGTTCGGCTCGATTCGAAAAGTGAAATAGCCATGCCATGGCATCTTTGTAGACGATCAAATTAGCTTACTTTTGTTCTAGATCTACAACGTAATTTTTTCTTTGCTTTTATCAATTTGATCATCCACACTGAAAGAAAGTACTCCGAAATTAGGAAAAACAGGTCTTGTTTCACACCGGCCGGGTGAGAATAGTGCAGGCGAGTCTTTTGGCTATTCTCACCCGGTGCGCATTCACCGTTATAGCCTAGATCTAGGCCAACCAATTTTGCTTTCACCCTAAACCACAGAATTCTACACTGTGATAACAGAAAAATTGTAGAATTCTGTGCCGTGAACAAACGTTCCATTTTACTACTGTTAGCCTCGCGTTTGGAATGCTCTATCAAGTTTCTAGATCTAGGGTTTTATCAATGGATGGGTGGTAATTTTAAGTTGGTACGTAAAATCTACTAAACGCAGAGGTCTGAAATTTTACAGCAATAAAGAAGACATGTGGGGCGCTTGTGTGGTCGGCGATCAACCCGCAGCTCCGCTTAGTTTTCGAACCGCAGAAGAAATTCGCACAAACACGGCAATATCTCCGGTTCTAGTAATCGTTCGGGATTGTACGCTGGCATGTCGTTAGTTAAAACCTTTCCTCTGGTTGGTTGCCGAGTTTCATTTACTTTCGTCCAGGAGTCTTCCCGTAACTAAACTTAGAAGAGTCACTTCTGATTCCGAGCGGCCCAAAAAATACCCCTCGCGCGGAGGCCGATTTCCGGCACAAGGCGCAGCGGGCGATTGGCATTGCTATATAAATATCGCCCAATGGCGTTTAGCTGTCGTTCTCTAGCTAATCTAGTCTAGAAATCTAGATCTAGATCTAATCTAGATCTAGAATCTAGATCCATCCGCTCGAGTAAAGTAGATTCTAGTTTAGTGAGAAAGTAACTATGTCAATGTCGTGAAGCGATTGTTGATGGGAACCTGCCTTGTTGTGTTGATCACCGAGACCGAGAGTGAGAGTCGAGAGGACAGACAGAGGACGAGCACAAACTGACAAAGAACAAAGTTGGTCATAAAACTATACAAATGGCAGGGGGAAAAAAGAAAAATTATGGCAAACGTTAAAAGTAAATCCAGAATAACAAACAAACCGAGGCAATCTTTCCCTGGAAAGTCTAAAGTATTTGCATTTGGCCTACTGGAATGACCTTACCTGACACAACACTGAAAGCAGAGACCGGAAGCAGCAAGGAAAGTTAGCTGTTGCAAATCACGGCATTAGCGTGATATCACGAGATCGACTTTATCCTTAGTCGTATTCGTCATAATAATGGTCACTTTAATTAATTCTTACTTTGAGGGAGAAAAAAGGTACATAATAATATTAATACGAGTATTTTGGTGTTTTAGATTATTAGAGCCCACTATTCTGATAATTTGAAACTTAAATTACCCCTGTATTCAAGTTTCAATATGGCACTCGCAGTTCTTCAAAGTTGGTGAATATAAATAATAATATATATTATATAATTATACATGTAAATTATACCAAGGACCTGTTAACCTCCTATCATGCTTACTTTTACTTTTACTTTCACTTTAACTTACTTTTTACTTTTTTATCCTCTGTTGCGTCGAGGGGAGATAATATGCAGTTTTTTTAATGGTAGGCCAGCTCCGCAGCTCTTTCAGTTGTGATGTACATGTTTTCTTAGGGTTTCCTTGACACCCTCGATCCACCTTTTGCGTGGCCTCCTCTTCCTTTATAGCCTGAGTGCTTGGTGTTGTAGGCTCTCGAGGCTAGCTGGTCAGGTGACATGCGTAACAGGTGGTCAAACCATTTTATCGTTTGTCTTTCTATGTAACGCAGGCAGGACTCAGTGCCGATAAAAGCTGCTCTTACTTCTTCATTTCTCTGCCTGTCTCGTCTTACATATATATTATATGTGTATGTTAATATAATATAATCCAAACATTGTGCAACAAAATAATTTTTTCTTAAATGTGAAAATAAGTTGCAATTAACAATATCTGTAATTAAATGATCATCAAATAATGTTCTTCTTTTGAAGTCTTTTAGTCTTTTTGTTTGTTTGTTTGTTCGTTTGTTTGTTTATTTGTTTGTTTGATTTTGTTTCACTGGTTTTAAAAACACACTTCTCTTTTTTTCATTGACTTTTGAAGTTAAGATTACATTAATTTAATCTCAATTTATAAAATATTATATTAGTGATAAACGAGACAACTTTTGACGGAGAACCTGGATACCTAGAGGAGTTATCTCTGGCTCAGAGGTGTGGCTATGGTCACTATTAGCTGCCGTCATGCATTCTGAGTGTAATTAGTTTGTGCGTTTGGCTTCATCTTGTTTTTGCATTTTCTGTTCTTATTAATACGTTTCTTTTTCGTTCCTTCCTCAAAAGAGGAAAGAAATTTTTTTTTTAAAGACATCTGGACCTACTTGTCAAACATGAAACATCTGCAGACATGAGAACAACTTTTGATTGATTCAAAAATTGAACAGGCTCAAGGAACAAAACCCCTAACCCTAAAACCCCTAACTCCTAAGATCTTTTAACAAGCGAAATGATCAACTTGCCAATTAAATGACTTATCACTGATATTACTTCCCTTTAGTCACACGACGAGGTGTTTGGTTAACTTGTTTTGTGAAAAATGCGAAAAATCGTGAAAACGGGGAATCCAAAATTATGCAAATGCTGCGGAATTATGCGAAAAAAACGCGGCCGCACAATCCGACGAGGACAGCCTTATGTACTTGCGAGCGCCGTAAAACCTCTTCTAAAAATAAAAAAAACTTCTGAACCTGCCCACTTTTGGCATAGGTCAAGATTTCTGGAAACCCCAGAAATCTGGTTTAGCCAGCTTGTCCTTTTATTTAAAAGCGACCGAATTAAAGTATTTCCCCTCTCCATTCCTGTATGAAACCCGCATCAGTTTTGATGACATTTCTCGTGGCAAAATTGCAATCCGTCGTTAGCACTCCTGAGTGTTCAAACATGCATCACTTAAATGTTAAAATAATTTTATTACATTGTACTTGTGTATGGTTATTATTAACTAGTTTAAGTTGACATAAAATAAATACACCAATTGCTTGCGTAACATGAAACTTCAGAATGTTTCCCAGGTATTACAGCTTATTCGCAGTGGAAAAGGCAAGAAAGACAGCCACAATTACAACAGGGAGTGTAGGTGTGGGCGTGGGGGAAGGGGGGTGGAAGTAAGACATGCTACTTAGTGCCCTCCAACCACCCAGGGTAAGAAAACAGAACAAACAATAACAATAGAGCAAACAATCTATTTCGGTTGCAGAGAGACCTGTTCAACGTTATGGTCATTCGCGAAATTATGCATGACTTCTCTCTCTCTCACTCTCACTAAAATAACAAAAACACCCCCCACAAAAAAAAAAGAATACACAAAAAAAAACAACACTCGCAGTCCGCACTTTTGAGTCTCACAGTGAGGTATGATTCAGCATGAGTGTGTGTGCGTGTGTGTATGTGTGTGTGTATGTGTGTACGTATGTGTGTACGTATGTGTGTACGTATGTACGTATGTGTGTGTATGTATGTATGTAGTATAGGGTTTTACGGCGCTCGCAACTGCTAAGGTCATATGAGCGCGCGAAACACAAGTTGTTTACTTCGCAAAAGTTCATAGCACGATCGGTTAACTAGATTGACTTTAGAATGCTAAGATGTTAAAATATTAAAATTCAGTGTAAATATATTTGTGATTTAAAAACTCTTATAGTAGTACGTTTTCATTTTACAACTTGCCATAAAGGCCAATGGCCTTTATAAAATTCAATATTCTGCCGGGAACAACGACGGAAAAGATATCTTGCAATTTTTTGCATTTACAATATTTCCTTCGGATCTCTCCAAAGTCTAGACATTCTGTCAAGATGTGTCTAATCGTAAAATCTGTGTCGCATCTGACACAGAACGGCTTCTCATCTCCCTGTAGGAGGTAGTAAGTATGTGTGTGTACGTATGTGGGGGTGAGAGAAAGGGGGGGGGGGGGTGTGTGTGAGAGAGAGTGATACAGAGAGAGAAGGAGAGACACAGTGACAGACATACAGACAGAGAGACAGACAGACAGAGAGAAAGAGTGTGTGCCATTGCAGAATACCCCATCGCTACAGCAAAGACACCTATCTGGTAAATTTTAATGCTCAACACCCTCATCTACTTGACATTGATCATTTATGAGGCAGGCTGTGCTGTTCCTGCCTATCAATCATGGCCAACGAGAACACAGAGGAATACAGTATCCCAGCAGACAGAACAAGATACAAGATTTTTAAAAACTCTTTCCATTCAAAAATCAAACTCAAGTCTATTGAGTGCCAAGGCAAAGTGCCTTACTTCTACACGCGACTCTGGTACCTCTAATTAAACATGAATAAAAAAAATTTTTAAAGCACAAGACAAAGTGGAAGACCTATATAATATATATAAATATAATATGACCCTGAGGTACAACATGAATGAAGAAATGAGCAATTACTTTTGACATACGGTATTATTAATTGGGAATAACCATGAAGAGATAAAGAGTTTAAAAAAAACACCCCAAGTAACGTCTAATGATGGCAATGAAAATGATCATGAAAAGGGACTTTTCAAACAAAATAACTTCCATTCAGATGAGAGAAAAAGTAAGACAGACAGAAAGAAATGACAGAAGGAAAGGAAAGCAGTTGGACCTATTTGTTTGTTTGTTTGAGTAGGTGTTTTACGACACTCTTGATTCAGTTTTGTTCTTAGGACCTACTTCTAGGGGCGCTCTCCAATCACTCATGATAAAAAGAGGAACGAACATGAATACCTAGCCAATAATACAAACAAAAACTAGTAAGATAAATTCAACACAGTAAATTTATTAAACATATTTTTCTGCTGCCCGCACAAAAGGAGCTCTTTGCACAGTTTTGAAAAGTTCAAAAAGACAGGTAAACTGACATATCTAGTACATAATATCAATGACAGTTCAGACAACCTTTTTACGCCTTCAATCATGCCGCTGTCACTGAAACTTCTCCCTCAGACAAACTAAAAAGTGTTCTGAGGGGTCAACAATAAGTGGTCAGATGTAAGTCATGATATGAGGCCTAAGAGTCAACAACGAGAGGTCGGAGTTAATTCAAGACATGAATAATTAATAAAGGGTCAACAACATGGGGTCGGACAAACGGTAAATTTCTAAAAAGGTCACCAAGCAGGGTCGAACTGAAGTCAGGACAACAGTCCTGAGGGTCAACAACGAGGGATAGGACTAAAGTTAAATTCATAAATGGTCAATAACAAGGCATCGAGGCTAAGTCAAGACATGAGTCTTGAGGGTCAACAACGTGGGGTCGGACTAAAGGAAAAGTTATAAATGGTCTACAAAGAGGGATTGAAGCTAAGTCAAGACATGAGTCTTGAGGGTCAACAACGTGGGGTCGGACTAAATAATCAACACTAGGAGTTGGAGGTAAGTCAAGACATGAGTCCTGGGGGTCAACAACGTGGGGTTGGACTAAAGGTAAATTTATAAACGGTCAACAACGAGGGATAGAGGCTAAGTCAAGACATGAGTCCTCCTGAAGGTCAACATCGTGGGGTCGGACTAAAAGCAGAGTTACAAATTATCAATAATGAGGGGTAGGGGTTAAGTCAAGACATGAGTCCTGAGGATCAACAACATAGGGGTTGGACTAAAAGAAAAAATCATAAATGGTCAACAACGAGAGGTCGGAGCTTCTTAGTCAATAGGGTCAACAACATGGGGTTGGATTGAAGGTCAAATTCTAAAGTGTCACGCAGAGGGGACGGATCGAAGTCAAGACATGTGTTCTGAGGGTCAACAACGTGAAAAAGGATAAAAGGCACAGTTATATAAACGGTCAACAACGAGGGGTTGGGGGAAAGTCAAGACATGATTCCTGAGGGTCAACAACGTGGGGTCGGACTAAAGGCAAAGTTTTAAATTATCAATAACGAGGGGTGGGGGTTAAGTCAAGAAATGAACCTTGAGGGTCAACAACAAGGGGTCGGACTATAGGCAAAGTACTATGGTCAACAACGATGGGTTGGAGCTTAGTCAAGGCACGAGTCTTGATGGTCAACGTGGGGTCGGACTAAAGGAAAAATTTGTAATAGTCAACAGCGAGGGGTTGGAGCTTAGTCGTTAGGGTCAACAACATGGGGTTGGATTGAAGGTCAAGTTCTAAAGGGTCATCAAGAGGGAACATCGAAGTCAAGACATGAGTCCTGAGGGTCAACAACGTGGGGT